AGGAGAGAGAGAGAGAGAGAGAGAGAGAGAGAGAGACCGATTCAGTAAAATTGCATTGAACAAAACAAAGGCTGTCTTCATTAATCTAAAAAAAGCATTCAACACTGTCAGCACAAATGGTCTCTGGAAAATTCTAGAGATATTTGACTGACCCACCAAATATGCTAATATCTTATGTCAATTCCACCAAGACACAACTGATCAAGTACTCTCAGCTGGTGGTCTCTCTAAACCATCCCCCATATCTAAACAGTTTGCCCTCCCCATCAGCCTGGGAAAAAAATGAACTCTTCCAAGCAGCCTCTTCAGCCCCTACCACTGCTCCAAATATCACCATTGATGGTACAAAACTATAGAATGGATTGGCAGTATCATCTAACGTGATAGTTCCCTGTATCAAGAAATGTCAAACAGAAAGCCAGGGTTTCAGAAATCTTTGGCACAAGATACTCAATCAGCATACCATCAGTCTTTCCAAAACTGATCCTGTACAATGCAGCAGTGATATGGGTGTGAAACGTGGAGAGTTTACCACAGAAACATCAAGCAACTTGAAAAATTTCACATGCATTGTCTTTACTGAAGGTTTGCTGGCAAGACAAAGTGTCAAACATTCACATCCTTGCAAGAGCTAAACAATAAGTACTGAGGCAGTCATTTACTGAAGCTCAGCTTATATGGACGATATGACGGGGTCCCCATGGTGCACCCTGGACAGTGGGACCACTAAGTCCTCTGTCCCACCACCCTGGGGTATATCCCTCTCACGCTGTGATGCTGTGTCAAGCCACAAACGCTGACAGGCACTGCACTTACACAGACATCCACAGGCAGGAACACATCCAACTGAGTTACATGAATGATCTCTCAGCCACTCATGAACCATCAATAGAGAGGCTCCAGCCAATTCCCCCCAACTCCCCAGCTTTGCACCCGAGAGCTGTACTGTCTTGCACTGGTCAGACGACTGGCTAGTGTAAGTTCATTACCCAGTCTGTCCCTCCCTCGATGTGGAGAGGGCACATACTAGGCTTGGTAAACTGAGCTGAGATTTCCCAAGCCCTTCAACCAAAACACACTGTTTTATATAAAATATAAAACAGATTTATTAACTACAGAAAGGTTTTAAGTGATAAGTAGCAAGCGTAGAGATCAAAAGTTGGTTACTTAAGAAAGAAAAGTAAATTCACAGTCTGAGTTCTACAAACGAAATAGGATTTGAATCAAGCAGTGTCTCACCCTGACAGATGATACAGCCAGATCTTTAATACACAGGCTGGAACTGCCTTTCAGCCCAGGACCACCCTCAGCCAGTTCTCCAGATGTTTGTTCTCCAGATGTTTCTTCCAAGTGTTGAAGGGGAGAGGGGGAGAGGCAAAGTGATTATATCACTTCCCCTCTTTTATAGCTTTCGATTTGGGAATCAGACAGTCCCCATTGCCTACAGGTTCTCTCTGAGAAGTCTTCTAGTACGACCATTGGGAGGGTGGATTCTCTTTAATTGGCCATCAGAGCATCTGGCTACACCATTGTCGTACCTGAAAGGCTGGTGGTGGGTGATCCCAACCTCACAATATATTTCAGTAACACAACAAAACTTCATAACTTCACATATGAGGATAGTACACACAATCCAATGGATCAAGACTTAATACCTCACAAGGCATACTTTGTACAAAACATATCATAATTACATGACAGTGGTGAATATGGGGGTTCCAGGGTGCTACTCTGAGGTAGAGTGTCACAGACAGGTCATATTATCATAATGGGTGATGACAGACTCCCCAAAAAGTCCTCTATGG